AAAAAAAAACATTTAAAGGCCAAATTGTATTCTACTTGAGACTTGGATTTTAGACTAGGGTTTCCATTTCATAGTTTAACAAGCTACTATCTAGTCTAACAAGCTACTAACTTCATGTAGTGTCACACACACAATACACAGTGATATATGTCATTAGGCCTAGTATAAGCCCTTTACAAATTTGAATTATTCCTTTCAGTTCACAAAGCACTTCCACCATTTTCTCATCAGCTTTGAAGAGCCACAGGTATGTAAGGCAGATAACATCTACCCTTAGAACTGTTGTGAGAATCAGACATAATCTAACCAAACTTTCCTTCACAGGGTCTTGTAAATAGCAGGTGCTCAATTAACATTAGTGACTTTTCTTACAGATAAGACACTGATGCTTTAAATAAAGGAAGAAATATGAGCAAGTTTACAAAGCTCACTGGTCTCCCAGCCTCACTCATGTTTCTCACCAACACACCATTTCTACAAAGCATTTACTGACCCAGTTTCCTCATGATTCATTTTCAAGAAAATTTCTTGTACCCAGAACTGTTTTAATTCATTCACAGTATCTGCATGCTTTCTATGTGTCAGTCACTGTTAATATTGCAGTGAACAAACCTGACACTGATCCTGCTCTTGGGAAGTTGATATTTTAGTGAGAGAAGACAAGCAACAAATAAGAGAATTTCGACAGTAACAAGGGCCTGACTGGGTGATAAAAGGGTCAATGAACTAATAGGGCCACTTAAGAGCAGTTGGAAAGTACCCGTGAGGAAACATCTGAATGATACCTAAATGACAAAGTAGATGGAACTCTGACTTTTTCACTTATTAATAACATACTCTGCCTTACATCCAATAGAGGAGGAATGAGGCAGCTAACAATTCTAAACAAAATAACTTTTTACATAAAGGGAAAAACAAAATTTTAAAGGAATAAATTTCGATGGTAATCAGTTTTAAGCACTGAAACTATGAAAGACACAAGTATTTTACAATTTGGGGCACCTGGATGGCACAGTCAGTTAAGCATCGAACTCTTGGTTTTGGCTCAGGTCATGATCTCAGGATCAAGATCAAGCCTTGTGTCTGGCTCCAGTCTCAGAGCTCAGAACAGAGTCTGTCCCTCGTCCTCCCCCTTGGGCCCTTCCCCCCACGCATGCTCACTCGCACACTCTCTCTCTTTCTCTAAAATAAATAAAATCTCTTAAAAATTTTTACAATTTTGTCTTCAAATTATCATCTCAAAAAAAAATAAGCAAATTATCATCTCAGTGAGAAAAGAAAAACAGTAAACCATTAACAAACAGTCTATGATAATGTGCCAAGATGAGCGATACAAGCTGTCATCATTAAAAGTTCAGATAAAGGAAGAAATCAATGTGGACCAGAACAATACTTCTCAAATATTAATATGCTATAAACCACCTGATACAGTAGATCAAGACGGGGGGCCTAAGATTCTGAGATACTGTATTTCTGCGTTTCTTTTTTTTTTTTTTTTAAAGATTTTATTTATTTATTTGACAGAGAGAGACACAGCGAGAGAGGGAACACGAGCAGGGGGAGTGGGAGAGGGAGAAGCAGGCTTCCTGCGGAGCAGGGAGCCCGATGCGGGGCTCGATCCCAGGACCCTGGGATCATGACCTGAGCCGAAGGCAGACGCTTAACCGGCTGAGCCACCCAGGCGCCCCTGTATTTCTGTGTTTCTAACAAGGTACCAGGTGAGGCCAATTCCACTTGTCTCACTGATCCATGGAAAGATTCAGACTGGTTTGGGGGAACGATGTAGGTTTTACATGAAAAGTTCTACAGGAAAGATTAGTTTGATCTTTTCTAGGAACAATGAGATCATTTGACTGCAATGAAGAGCCACTCCTCCATTCCAAGAGGATGCACTGAGCACTGACTCTGTGCAGGGTACAGTAAAAATCTCATTGACAAGTCTAACGGAATGGACAATTAAAAGATTCTTGAGAGATACCATTTCACACAAGAAAAACAAACCATCTAATTGTCCATTAACGGTCAGATGAGGACAATTATGTCATATTCATACAATGAGGTGCTCTATAGTAATGAAAAGGAATGAATTATAGCCACAGTCTAGAATGGACTAATCTCAAAAACAATGTGAGATATGCATATATGACTCAAGATGTAGGAGAACATGTACTATGATTTAATTCACATTTCATTCATATTATTGATATAAACAGGCAAAACTGAACAAATTATTTAGAAATATTCTGTATGGTGAAGCTTTAAGAAAACCCAATCCCTGAAACAAAGCTCACAATAGTGATTATAGGGTGGGGATTAGGGATGGGAGGAAAGGATGAAATAGGGGAAGAGGCTTCAAAGATAATCACAATGTTCTATTTCTCAGGTTGAATGGCAGGTAGCTGGATGTTTATTTTGTGATTATTTAAATTATGTATCATAGATACTATTTTGCATGTGTGATATATTTTGATATTTTTTATAGTTCTTTGCGAATGCTATCAATGATTTTTCTAAAAACTAAATCAGGGAATTATTGGTGATGGAGATTCTAACAACAGTGAGTTGAAGAAAGAATGGAAAACTACAAATATAGATAATTCTTTAACCATTGACTTCAAGAGGAAAAAAGTGGAAGCTAAGAATGGAACTAAGTGAAAAAGAGAACTGAACATTGTAATATGGGAAAGTCCTGACAATGTTGACATGTTAAGGGAAAAGTAATATTAAAGATAAAGAAGATGTGATGAAACAGAACCAAAGGTAGGAAAGGAAAGGTTCGATACAAGAAGAAAAACAGGTCTTGACCACTAACAAGATGCCAGGAACAAATGTGATTAAACATGAGACTAACCAAAGAGTCTTGTGTTGCTGGAATGTACACTTCCTATGAGGCTTGGAAATAGTAGGAAATTAACCTGAACACAAAAGCAAGGACATCTTGGTAGGCCTTGAATTCACTGCAACATCACTGTAAACATTTAAAGAAGGAAGTTAACAAGATCTAAACTTTCACATTAAGTGAATGTTTTAATTAAATTATGAAGGATGGACTGAACAGGGCTAAGAAAACAATTCAAGATACCATTAGAATACTCTATAAAAGATATCAGGACATGTACTAGGAGCAGTATAAAAATGAGGGGCGCCTGGGTGGATCAGTCGTTAAGGGTCCAACTCTTGATTTCGGCTCAGGTCATGATCTCAGGGTCATGGGATCAAGTCCCATTGCCGGCTTGCACTCAGTGGGGAGTCTGCTTCTCTCCCTCTCCCTCTGGCCCTCCCCCCCTACCCCGCTCGTGTCTCCCCCTCTTAAAATAAATAAATCTTAAAAAAAATAAAATGAAATCTTTTATTCATTCATTTATTCTATCTATATCAGTTAAAAGGTCTCTATTGGAACATAACACGTGAAAAAGCAAAGTCCTCCAATAGCTTATGTTCTGGTGGGGGAGTCAAACAAGAAAACAAACAAGACAGTTACAGGCAGTGGAAAATGCTATGAAACAGAGTGGTGTGATGGAGGATGATGGGGAGGGAGCGACATTCAACAGGGCTGGTAGGCAAGGCCTTTCTTGAAATGGGGGAATTTAAGCCAAGGACCTAAAGAATCAAAAGAAGCCACTAAATACTTGAGTATTTCAGGAAGAGAAAACAACTAAAATGTCACTGTGAATGGAGCCTAGAATAAAGTAGGAGGTGAGTTTGGAGAAAGAGACAGGAGTAGCAGGACCCTGAAGAATGTGGTAAGAAGTCTGTATTTTATTGCAAGTGGATATGATTGATGGCATAGAGATAGATGAGAAGCAGATGAATTTGATGTATTTTGGAGATGGAACCAACAGGATTTGCTGAGGGGGGAAAAAAGAACAAATGTAGGTTAATGCCTAGGTTTTCTGACTTGTTCAAATGGTTAGATGGTAGTTCCATTTACTAAGACAGGAGAGACTGAGGTAAGACCAAGGATGGGGAGAGAGGAAGGAAGGGGAGATGACAGTAATCTTATTTTGTACAAGTTAAATTTGAGATGCCTATACGATATCCAAAAAGTGATGTCAGGCGGGCAGTAGGATATTTAAGAGTGGCATGCAAAAACCACGTCTGGCAAAAAATATAAATCTAAAGGTTTTCAGAATATAAATAATATTTAAAGTCAATGAAAGGAACTTAAGGAGGGTCTACTACTGTAACTTTTTGTAACACAAATAATAACACTGAAGCAACTAAGGTTAAATGGTAACTTACTATGTCTGACACTGTTCTAGTTATTGACACATTTCAGCCTATTTTAATCCTCAAAACAACTAAAATGAGGAAAATAACTATAAAGAGATTAACTTAACCAATGTCATTCAGCTAATTTTAGAGACAGGACTCAAACCCAAGCAGTCTGGCTCCATGAGCGTGCTTTTACCTACTCTCGATACACTACGTCAAGCAGAGACCTGATAGAAGGATGCCTAAACCCAAGTCCTGAGGCACTCCAACATTCACAGATGGGGAAAGGAGAAGCCAACATAAGAGATGTTTATGCCCACTGCACAGTTTCAGATAAACGCTGAACCACAGGTTCAGAAGTGGCCACAAAGTAAATCTCCACTTGGGAAGTTACAGATGTCAGGTCCCAGCAGAGAATCAATGAAGTTTACCTTACCTTCCCAAAAGCCCTAGATTCCTAGGTCCTTCACTACACCTCCTTCACCTATTTGTCTTCCTCAAGAGTCTTTCTCCAAATCCAGGCATCTCAAAACAATACCCCAACAATCTGTCACACACACCCCTAGCCTCTGTTCCCTTCCTCAGCCCTCAACTCCCCCAGGAGGTGGCAGAGAAAGCTGTTGCGCCTCCCAACAAAAAGTGAAGATGAAAGAGAAAGGTTTTAGGGGAAAACCTCGTCCCAGTCTCACCAGGCCCAGGGGAAGACCGCTAAGCAGCGCGTCTGGCGGGACTGGACTAAGAACTGAGCTCCCCACGTGGGCCTGTAGAAACGGAACCCCACTCACCAAGCCATCTATCTGCACTTGCTTCACCGCCGAATCTCCAGACCCGCCTTTGCTTTTGCCTTTCCCCGCCGGGCCGGTGGTGGAGCTGGAAGAAGTGGCAGCAGAGCCGGTGCCTTCCTTGCGGGACGCCATCTTTCCAGCCAGACAGGAAAAAAGAGAAACGTGAGTGACCGGAAGCGGAAGTACGAGCTTTACGTGACGTCATGCACAGCCCGAGGGGCGGAGCTGGGAGGAAAAGCTGGAGTGCGGCTCCGCCTCCCTTCTCTTTTCCAGCCTCGCCTCCTTCGCGGAGGTAACCTTTTGCGCATGTGCATTGTGCTTCTGCGGCTTCTTTCTCATCGAAAGCTTTAAGACAAAATTAGACTTTTTAAAATATTTTCCACCATATGTTTAGTCAGTCTCTATTAGTCAGTTGACCTTAACAGCATTATAGCTCTTGTTTTATGTAGCGTCTCGCCTAAAAACGATTTCACTTTTTTTTTTTTAATTAATCCGCATTCCCAATCTTGTAAACTATGAAGAGCTGTACCAACTCCCATCACACATACTTGGAAACTGAGACGGGGTTTGTCCAACGTGGCGAGCTGGTATTGCAGTTTGTTTTAGGTAGTTTTAGGTAGCAGTCTCTAACCACTTAGATTATACAGAAAGTATAATGTGGGAACTTTGATCAGAATAACGAGAGCTAACAGCCATTTGCTGCTATTAGTTTTATGCAGGATTTACATGAGTAAAGTACCAAAGAAGCTATTTTATGTACATTGTTCAAGGATAATGCAGAACATATTCCCTAAAAATCATGCTGACTTATAACACAGTTCTCTGAAATATGGAACTGAAGTCTTTAAAACAATACTTAACAGTTTTAGCAAATCATTTTAGATAAAGAATTTAAGACATTCTTATGTTTCCAAATTTTGCCTATTCCTTATTTTTGAAATGTCTACTCAATCAATAGATGTCTATGCAGAACTGATAATTCCCTAATTTATTTTTCCCTAGACCTCTCCACTGAAGTCCACACCAGCATATCCATCTGCCTATGCAACTTCTCTACTTAAATGTTCAACATGTACCACAAACTTAACCTTTCCAAAACTGAGCTCTAAATACCACCTCCCTCACATAGTCTTCCTCACCTCGTTTGATGACATCTTGATTCTTCCAGTTGATTAGACCAAAAACCTTGGAGTCACCTTTGACTTCTCTGTTTCCCTCACACCCCTGCGGGCAACCCTAGCTCAGACTATACAGGAAAGGGAATTCTAGGAAGTATGATTCCAGCTTAGCAAAGTTGACATAGTACAAATCCACTCAACTACGTCTAAAAGAAACTCACTTCAAATATAATGATATAGGCATATTGAAAGTAAAATGATGGAAAAAATATATCATGCCAACATTAAGCAAAAGAATGCAGGAGTGATTATATTAATATCAGATAAAGGAGAATTTGGAGAAAAGGAAATCACCAGAGACAGAGGGAGACATTATACAATGACAAAATGGCCAATCACCAAAAACACATAGTAATTCTAAATGTGTATGTCCTAGTAACAAAGCTGAGCTTCTGTAAAGAAAAAACTCATAGAACTCAAAGAACAAATAGATAAATACACAATCATAGTTAGAGATTTCAACTCCCCTCTCTCAACAATTGACAGAACAACTAGAGAGAAAATTAGCTAGGATATAAAGGAACTCAGCAATACCATCAACAGGATCTAATCAATACTTATAGAACATTCCATCCAACAACAGAATACACATTCATTTCATTATTTTCAAATGCCCATGGAACATATAAACCATATCCTGAGCCATAAACAAACCTCAACAAATTTAAAAGAACTGAAATCACACAGAGTTATGTTCTCCAACCACAATGGATTCAAACTAGAAGTCAAAACATAAAGATAACTTGGAAACTAAACAACATGCTTCCAATAACCCATGGATCAAAGAGGAAGTCTTGAGGGAACTTTAAAAACACACACACATTGAACTGAATGAATATGAAAATATAAAATGTCAAAAGTTGTGAGACACAGCTACATCAGTGCTAAGAGAAAAGTTTATAGCTAAATGCATACATTATGAAAGAGGAAATATCTCAAATCAATAACCAAAGCTCCCTCCTCAAGATCTTAGAAAAATAAGAGCCAAATAAACCTAAAGCATGCAGAAAAATTTAAATAACAGATTATAGCAGAATACTGAATATTCAGTACTGATAACCCAAAGAATGTTGGTTACCATCATTAAATTGTATTTCTGCCTCCAAAAAAAGCAGTTTGATATTGTGGGTATTAATGCCATTGTAGCTATTCATTTACTAACCAAAATAAATTTACCCTGGATTTGTAACAATACGTTCTTCATTTTTTCTGTCACAGGAACTAAAGTTTTTAACATACTTCTACATATGCTGAAAATATTTCAAATTTAGTCAGAGGCAAAAAGAGAGAGGATGGTGAGGGTTCCAAAGCCAGCTGTGGGCTGTGCCCATGGGTGACTACCACCTAGGGACAGGAAGCAATGAATAGCCTGTCATACCTGAATGAGAAAATGAAAAAATAAACTGTCTGACTAGTTCTGCCTTTGTGGCATAGTAACCCCTCCCACTAGGAAAACACAGCCCAGTGAATGTAAGACTGTGACCAGTCCAGCCATGCCTTAGAACCAGCCAGTGCTGGAGCTGTTTCCCTCACTTGGCTAAGGTTTACTTAAACCCCTTTCAATGTAGTAAAATGAGAGTGAAGACACCAAAGATGAACCAAAGGATTTTTTTAAATGTTACTTTATTCCTATTTGGTATACAGATGATCAAAGGATTTTTCAAAATATCAATTTATTCCTATTCAGTTGTTGCCTGCTTCCAGACCTCTATGGAAGGCAAGGTTCCTTTGAACATCTGATAAGTCTTGGGGCCTGAGCTGAGCAGCGCTCTTGGTCATGGAGTAGATGGATATAGAGCGGGCACTGTGTCTGTGTCTGTTCAGGGCTCACAGCTAACCTCTATAGGCTCGACTTAGCATTTGTTCTAGCTTTTGCTGAAGGAAAAGGGTAGAAAGTAATCTGATCTTACTATTTACTGTCCCTTTGGGAAGTAACTGTATATTCATGACATAGAGCTAAGGGGTCCTCCTTCTCTAGTATCCATTAAAAACAAAAGAAGCAAGGAAACTTTCAAAGCTTTCAGCAAGAGATTCTGTAAGAGATGTATGTTCTTACCTCTTCTATATAGATTATTTTCTAGGAAAGGAGCACAAAGATCTTTTTTTTTATCCCTTGGGAAAGAGATGTGTTTATGTGATGGTTATAAGATCTCCAAAAATATCAGATTAGCCCTTCCTTCTTTCAGGAGTCACAAGTAACAGGGAATGGAGAGAAAACAGGAAGTCTACCCTCCAACCACAATCACTCATGAGGAGGGGATCAGAAACTCCCTATTCTATGGAAATGGGGGGAAAGGTCAATTTCTCCCCCTACCTAAGGCACCTATAGGGTGTCATCATAATTAACAACCCAGGTCTACAACACAAAAATTAGATATAAGCAAAGCAGAAGAAACAACATATAAAGAGGGAAAAAGTTCTGGATTAAGTTAGTACACTTTTTAGAGGTCCACAAACATTCATTTGGCCAAAGAAAATCATCCGGCTTAAAACACTAAGCACTTTGCTTAATATTTAACTGAAGTGGAAAAGACACCTTTGGGAGATGCCGAAAGCAGCTAATAACAACAGGTTTCTGCATCCCTGTCTCTTCACAATGCTGTCCAGGATAAAACAAGAACATATACAGAACATCTTAAATTTCCTTAAAGCAAGGTGTTACACAGGCAATACCATCATTTTTCCTTTTACTTATTTTTTTTTTAAAGTAAGTTCTATGTCCAAAATGGGGCCTAAACTCACAACCCCAAGACCAAGAGTTGCACATTCCACCAATCAAGCCAGCCAGGCCCCCCTATCATTTTTCCTTTTAAAATACATTTTGGGGAGGGGGGGCTGGATTTAGCAAATATTCCATCAGTTAGGTCACTTTGGGCTGCAAGTAACAAAAAACAAACAAGTACACAGAAAACCCCAATTTTAATTATTTTAAACAAGAAGGAGATGTACTGTATCACATAACTAAATATCTAGAGGAGGGCATATTGCAAATAAAGTGGCATAAATTCTCCAGTTCCATGTCATTATGATGCTCTTGACTCTGGCTTCTAACATGTTTTGGTTCTGTCCACAGACTGGCTACCCCCATAATTTCAAAACAGCTGCCAGGAGCAATGGACACATTGCACTTCTTTTTTTATGTTTATTGCAAGAAAAAGAAAACCTCTCCCCAAACCATGGGGAGAAAAGATCTTTCTCTTTAGTCTGATTGGGATCAATTTAAATCATATGCTTCCCTCCGTGTACATGTGGAATGAGATTGTGTGAGGCCATTGTTTGAAGAGCTAAGTGATTTGCTCAGTATCGTGAAAGGAACAATAGAGAGGGTAAAGAAAGAGCCAATAAAAAGGAAATAATATTCATTTACACATATGACCCAGCATGTGGGCATTTCCTATATGTTTCCTAAAATAATAATAATTCAGAAAACAACATTTGGCCTTCTCCTCCCAGTATTTTGATTTATGAATTACCAACTCATATTAAAACAAGGTGATCTAGCACTGAAAACATTTGCCCAGATTCTAAGAGTGACTTTTATTTTGTATCATACCACATAATTAATACCGTGTATTGGTGTAATTTAATTATAAATATGAGACTTTGAAATAATATTCTACTGGATTATTGAAAGTGTGTTTAATTTCTTGCCACCAGGAGTTCAGTTTCTGCCCTGAAGTCCTCCTGCTGCTTAAAAATATATACGAAAGCATGAGTGAAATGGTTGTCTTCAACATTTTGTTCAATATAAATAAATAGTGTTTGTAGAAAATCCTTTTAATGCCATAATCTGACATAATTTTTGATCTTTAAACTCCTTTAAGTAACAGGAATAATATTTGCTTACCCAGAGTAATTTTACAAGGATTCATTAATCTCCTAAAATGCTTTGATAAGTTAAAATGAAAGACCCCATATGGTCGGTATGAAGTTCTCTACCAGTTTCAGTTATGATTTAATTAAATTTGAAAAGGCAGTTTGTTATGCATCA